TTAATACCTAAAAATCGATTTTTATATTTAAAATAATCCATTAATAGCTAAAAATCTATTTTTCATATTTTAAATAATCAATTAATTGCTAAAAATCGATTTTTAGTTTCAAAATAATCGATTAATACTTTTTAAATTGATTTTTATATTTTAAATAATCGATTATATACTGACTTCGAACATCCTCGTCTGGACATAATTCTAATCGATTTTTAGGAAGTAAATAATCGATTTTCGGCTACTGTTCATCATCTTCTTCCTCTGGTCAGTTTCGAGTATTATCATTTTTATCACCAAACTTCAATTAAATTATATAGAAATGTTCTCCCAGGTTCATAGATCATTTAAGAATCATTAAAACATATTTTTAATATCAAATTCAAGGTTTATGATTCTTGGTTTTTCAAACATGTCAAACACAAAACTCAACCAAACGACTATTTATGAACGTAAAAACAACATACATGAACATTCTAGTCTTTAGATATATCTACGAGCTTACCTTGAAGCGTAAGGGAGGTTTTGACGATTTTCCGGCGAAACTTCCGGCGACTCTATCTCACTGCTCCAGCGACCTCACACAAAGCTGACAGCACCCGTGTGTTCTCCTCACTCAGAACAGCAGGATAGGAAGAAGAATCATAAATTTTGGTGGAGAAATGAGAAAGATTGGTCATCCTTAAATAGGCCAGTTGAAGAAGAAGAAGACACAGGTTTGCAGCTTCCGTGATTGAGCGGTGATTCGTATTTTGGATTCGGCTTAATTGAACAAGGAGTACCGTTTGTTGTGTACTCCCTGATGGAGAACCTTTGTTTGCATACCCATACTCTAAGCAAAATGGTTTGGTTTCCAATATAGATACTTGACACTGGCTTCTCCCTTAAAGGGCAACCTTTCAAATTTTTGAAGTTCCTGTAAAAAATCTAAAACAGGTTGTGGAGGATGACCAATTGACCATGAGTGTGGCTCTATAGGGAGGTACACCCCTGTTTCTTTATTTAATCTTTCATTTTCAATCCTCAAATAAAATCAATGTTTGACCTTCCTAAGATACAGAGAATTAAACTCTAATGTGAGTTTTGGTTTTTAGCTGGTTCAAATTGAGCTCTTTTAGATTTTGGTTGTTTATAGTTTTTGGGGTTCATTTGAATGGACTTCGGGTGATGGGTCTCGAAGATTTTATGGTATACATTATGTCATATTTGATGGTCTAGATTCTTGCTCTATTGTGAACTCTCCATCTCATAATTTGAGTTTGAGCATCCGAGGAAATGAGGGATTACCAAGGGAATGAAAAAGGTGTGAGTAGAGTGGGGAGCAAAAGCAGCAGCAGAGGCTGAAAGGACTGAATTCTGGGATGAGTGATTCACGGGTGGAGGAGGTGCAGTAGAGTGTTTTGAAGCTGGAGGTGTTGCTACAAGTTTTGCAGAGGTTGAAGCATATTTTGGGGTTATAGCTTCAAATCCTTCAATGGGAGAATGCTTAATATCCTTCGGTATCTCAAAATTAATGATGGCTTGATGTTTTTTTATTTTATCTTCAGAGTTGTGTTTGTGTGTCTCAATCTAACTCAATTACGGAGTATTTGAGCTCAATTTTTAGATTTTATTTTTTTAATTTATCTACTACGTAGCATTTTTAGCTTTATTTTTGGGGCCTAACAAAAAGAAAAAAAGCTTTATCTCGGGGCTTTTTCTACACAATTTTATGTTTATGAAAATTTTGTCATAGTTATTATTAGACTTCATAAAGAACAAAGCAGAATGTTAATTCATAGCATTTCTTTTTCTAAGCTACAATGGTGAAAGTAATTGATTATATGATCTCTAGGGTCCAAACAAATGTGCAGTTCATTATTCAAAGATTTTGGGTATAAAGCCTATAGGCATTTGATCTATGTGATAGTGGTTGAAATTAAAGAAATATTTAATTTAAAATTATTTTTTGGTGATCGTGGTTTTGTTTTCATGTTTGTTTGCACAAAAGAGATGCAATAAAATTGGGTTAATGAAAAAAGATATGTGCTTTTGGTTTAGGAAAAAAATGGTTTATCAATATATTTTTTACAATAAAATTTAAATTAAGAAAAAAATTAAGTCGGTAGAAATTTAGGAAGTGTTTAAGTTTGTAACAACCTATTCTTGATTATGAGTTCAATTTGATCCAAACTATAATTATTAAAGGGGAGGGATATGCTAGGGGTACACCTTTGGAAAGGTGTACTCCAAATTTACACCACCACTCTCTTTACCATTCATTTTATTTTGATTTTGATTTTTATTTTTATTTTTTGATTTTTTCTGGCTTTTTTTTTTTGTGATGATGGAGGGGGTGGGGATGTTTGGGGTACACTTTTGGTGTACCCCAGCATTTTCCTTATTAAAGTAAAAGTTTTGGTCTTCTGGAACTTTGTTTTTGGAATCCTATGCCTTGACAAATTTATACTGGAAATAAATGAAACATAAACACATAAAACATTAAATGTATCCTTGAGAAATGACAACGCATTTTTATTTATTGATACATTATTAACTGTTCTTAAGGGTGTGCTCTATTGTTTTTCGTACTCATTAGACGATTTAAGTGAGGTATAATTTTTGTTATGAAGGAAATATATACTCTAAAGTAACCAAGTCAATAACATTTAGTTTTATTTGTTTGTATACAAATATTTTATTTTCTGAAATTTTTAAATTCTACTCCCTCCGTCCCATTTTAAATTGCTTGTTTACCTTTTTTCTCCGTCCCAAAATAAGTTGCATGTTAGTTTTTTTTGTAAACTTTTAAAAATAAAATACCTAAATTACCTCTAAAATAAGTTATTCTTCTTCACCTTATCTTATCATTCATCATCACCCCTTCTAAAAAGTAATGACAATTTCGAAAAATCAACTCTATTTTTTATTTTCCTTAAATATGCCCAAAAATCAAGACAGACGATTTAAATTGGGACGGAGGGAGTACATTTTGAAATAAATTACTTACCGTGCAACGCACGGGTAAAATCTTGTGTGTGTGTGTGTGTGTGTGTGTGTATATATTACATTATATATTACATTATATATTATAGTGTGTACATTTTATTTTGGAGTGTCATTTTAATTATGAAAATATTTATTTTGACAAAAACTATTTTAAAGTATATTTTATATACTTGTTTTAAAATGTTTTGGGTATTTTATTTTATATCATAAAAATTATTGATGTCAAATAAAATACAACTTTTGGTAGCATTTTTGAAATTCTTTATTTAAGTATGTGCATGTACGTGTGTAGTACATGGCACATTAACACATGACATGTTTCATTTTGATTACTTGGCTAAGAATGAAGATTCCTTTTAGTTTTGGACTTTAGTTAATGTCCATGTTTTCTCCACCATTTTAAAAGTCTTCCTTTTTTTGTGTTGGGAGATGGCCGAAAGTTTTGAAGGAGTGGGGAGAGTTTTGAAATAAAAGTTTATCTTTTGAATGTATAAAATTGTTATAATATTTTCTTTAAAATACTATTGATATATTTTCTACTATTTAATATACAAGATTAAAATTATCCCTCTTAAATCTTTATATTAAATATACTATTATAATCTTTACTAGCATAAAGATTATAGTAGACTCCGGAGATTGTTCGTGTGTCAAAGTTGGAGGCCAGACGCTTGAACGGCTACATTTGCTCCATCAACACCTTTTGCTCGACTTCTCGTTCATACCACTTTACCGGAGAAGGTATAACTTTCTATCTCTACCTATAGTTTTAGTACATGTTCTTGGGATAGTAATCACTATTGGGAGAGATTAAATTTTTGTATTTCCGTTGCCCTCCCAACCGTGGTTACCTTTCACCAGACCCTTCAATGAGCTTTGCAACAGCAGATATTGTATTGACATTAGTTTCCATCAATGTCATTTCAGAAAAATATTTTTTATTTCTCAAAATGGTGTGCTTTGTGGCACTGTCTATTAGACATCGTTTTTTGTCACTGGAGCCATAAGTAGTTATCTACATATCTTGAAACCAATAAATATATAAATAAGTTCAAGATAATTAACACAAATAGCATACATTTTATTATAAGCTTTAAATCATACATAATAATACAAGTACACATGAAAAATGAAATACAGATTTTAAATATTTTTTTTAAAAGTAGATACACCATAACAGGGCGAATAAAAATATTTAAACAGTAGTAGTTCCACCAAAGACCACTTCATCACCAATTTCATCATCATCCATGTAGAAATCAGACACATCAAATTTAGGCAAAATTTGATTGATATCACCAGCATAATTAGCTTCCACATTTTTCCCTTTTCCTTTTGTGGAAGCTTGGTATAATTTCACCAAATGTTTTGCCGTTCGACACTCATTAGCCCAATGTCTTTTTATACCACATTTATAGCATTCACCACTTGGTTTCGGCTTTTCATGAGTTTTAGCCCGTGGTGGTTTGAAATTTTTCTTTCTTTTGGAGGATGATTCATTTGGATAACATTTGATTCTGGTGCTGAACCACGATCGGGATGACCAAAATTTGTAGGGCTACAACCGGTGGGTCTCATGTAATGATTTTTCATTAAGAGCTCATTATTCTGCTCAGCAAAAAGTAATACTAACTCAGAATACTTTTTAGAGCCCCATTCTCTATATTGTTGCTGTAATATCACATTTGACATATGCATGGTGGAAAAAGTTTTCTCCAACATGTCATGATCAGTGATATTATGTTCACATAATTTTAATGTGGACAGAACTTTGAAAATAGCAGAATTAAAGTCACAAACATATTTAAAATCTTGTAATCTTAAATTGATCCATTCATATTGAGCTCTGGGTAGTAGGACCTTTTGTTGATTTCCATATCTCTCTTGGAGATTATCCCATAATTCCTTCGGATCTTCCACCAATAAATATTCAGATTTTAAACTTTCATGAAGGTGGTGGCGAAAGAAAATTATGGCTTTTGCCTTTTGCTGAGATGATGATGTATTTTTTTCAGCAATTGTATTTTCGAGAGCATTAAGCTTAAGGTGAGCAAGTGCATCAACACTCCATTCCAGGTACCTTTGGTGATGTTGGCCATGAAATAACTACAAGATAAATTAAATTTGTTAGTTATTATTATATATTTTTTCTTTGTAAAAATAATATAGCTTCAATTTTTTTTAAATATAATGAGTAAAAAAATATTCCATAGCCACTGATAAGTTGTTTGATTCCATTGATAGGAAATCAATGTTAACATGTGATTTTTTTATTTTTATCACGCGACCATATATGTATGAATAGACATCAAATTTTAAATTTGATTCCCTTTTAAAAATTAATAAAGCACAACATGTTAAAGATGGTCTAGCATGATATAAAAATATCACATGCATCCTAAATAAAATACACAATTATTTTGATAAGATATAGATGTAGGAATCCTATGCAATTTTTTGTAAAAAAACAGAAGATGATAACATAATAAGACAAAGGTATTTAGATGATGAGAGATATCAATCAGTAGAGCATCTTTTTCAATTATTCTTAAAACCTTATCTGTTTACATTAGCATGATTCAAAGTCCTCTCATCTATCCTTTTAAAACTTGGCACAGGCATGAGAAGAAGAAGAAAAATAGTCTTAAAAGTACTATAGAAGTATGCATGGTATATGTGTGTGGCGTATGAAGAGACAACAACGAAGAGAAAAAAACTCTCTACCTCTAAAAATGGGAGGAACAAATCAAAGTAAGTTTATCTTGTTAAAAATAAAGATAATAGAAATATTGTTATGAACAAAATGATAGAAATATACCTTGATAAGAACACATATGAATGATCAAAGTGCAATGGAGAATGAAAAAGAGAAGGAATGCAATGAGATACTAAAGAGGTAGATATTCTATTTCAACATATAGAGCCTTTATATATAGGCTTACAAAGGGGAAAGCCAAAGTCTAACTTAATGGGGATTATCAAAAGACATGGAGAACATCAAAAGACATTTGTACATATATAACACTCCCCTTGGATTTTGGATGTTCACCATTTAGGTAGACTTGAGCTTACGACACTGCCTCGTTAAAACCTTGCCAAGAAAAATCCAATGGGACAAAAACTTAGACGAAGGAAAAAGAGTACAGTGCTTATAATGCTCCTCCTGGACATGGCAAAAGATCATTGAGTTGACGCATTCCAATACCATTGATCATCTTCCTAAGTGTCATGATTGGCAATGCCTTCGTGAACAAATCTGCAAGGTTATTGCATGACTGTATCTGACGGACCTCAATGTCTCCACTTTTCTAAAGCTTATGAGGATAGAAAAATTTTGGTGATATGTGCTTTGTCTTGTCTCTTTTGATGTAGCCACTTTTAATTTGTGCAATACAAGCAGCATTATCTTCATATAGTAATGATAGAGCCTTATTCAAAGATAATCCACAAGTTTCTTGAATGTGATGAACCATTGACCTTAACCATATGCATTCTCGACTTGCTTCATATAGTGCCATTATCTCCGAGTGGTTTGACAAGGTTGCAACAACTGTTTGCTTTACTGATCTCCATGATATTGCAGCACCACCACAAGTAAAAATAAATCCACTTTGTGATTTACCCTTACGTGGGTCAGAAAGATAGCCCGCATTAGCGTAACCAACAACTGGTGATTCTGAACCTTTTGAATAAAGTAGGCCCATATCGGTTGTTCCACGAGAAAAACGTAATATATGTTTAACATCATTCCAATGTCGCCGTGTGTTGGTGCTGAGCTATGTCTTGCCAACAAATTAACCGAAAAGGCTATATCAGGTCTTGTACAATTTGCAAGATACATTAGCACCCCTATAGCACTTAAATAAGGTACCTCCAGACCTAAAAGTTCTTCATTATCTTCTCGAGGACGAAAAGGGTCCTTTTTTACATCCAATGACCGAACAACCATGGGACTGCTCAATGGGTGTGCCTTATCCATGTAAAATCGTTTTAGCACCTTTTTCGTGTAACACCCCAACCCGCGTAACCCGAACCGACGAGTTAGCGAGTCGGGTTGCTACGAATTTGGTATTCACAAGCATAATATTCTAAAAACATTTAAAATTAAAACATATATTCATATTTATTTAAAAACAATTCATAATTAATCAGAGTAAATAATTCAAACATTGCGGAAGCCTTTAAAACAACATCGTTAAACATTCTTGTAGTTTAACAAAATAAAAGTCAACAAGTATTTAATTCAATTTCAAACAGCTTCGGGTCATCCACCAGTGTCACGCTTCACTGTCCTTCAGGCTGCTCCTCATCAAATCCTTGATCCCTACCTGTAAAAATAGAGAGAGTGGAAGTATCTAACGCTAAAACTAACTCATGGACTAGTGCCCATTAATATATAATCAAACAATATCAGATGAATCAACAAATATCATTATTCAACTGTACAACTATTTCCTCTTATAATTCAGTTTAGTTCTTACGCATACTCATTCCATCTACCTGCTAAACATAATCCAATTCATACTTACAGGAGTAATGGAATCCAGGCTCTCGCCTAAACCCACACTCATAACTCCAAAGCTCTCGCAATGGAGGGGGTTGAGGCCCCCGCTGGCTCTCGCCAGGGGTCAATGACCACCGTGCGCACGTTTTTAACCCTCGAGACCACTGGATGCACGCCGTCACCCGCATGACCTTAATTTCTAATTCTCAGTCCTATTTATGATTTCCAATATCTAATTAAACACTGATTCTCCTCGTACCATTAGGTGGCCTACTTCACCCTTTTATTTCACAACATAACAATACCCCAATAAGCTCCCTAACATCTTACATGCTAAGAACAACAGTAACATAGGCCTAACTGAAGAACAGATGCAAATCTAAATCACAAAACACATAAATCAAGCAACACAACCGGATACTGAAGAACAGAAGCAGCACCTTTCCTTCTCGTTTGGCAGCAAGGTGGAAACAACAACACACCACCACAACAGTGGCAGTAGCAAGTCGGCAATGACATGCTATTCATAGTGAACCGAACCAAAGGACATATATAGAGAGAGGAGGGACGAACAGAACAGAGAGAGAGAAGAGAGAACAGGATCACAGAACACAAACCAAGGGAGAAACAGAACAGAGCAGTAGCAGCAAAGTATAAATTTTCCAAAATCAAATTCATATCCCAACTCAAATTAAATTCACACAATCCGTCGCATAATCATATTTACGAATTCAACATCAATTGGATGAAAACATATTAATGAACCCTAATCTACAAACTAATTTGAACGAGAGATAAATCACTCACCTTAATTCAATTGACAGAAGAATTTCAATTTACTTGATGTAGTTTCCCGGCGAACTGTTCCGGCGATTTCCCTCCTCGGTGGTCTCCCTCGCTTGACTGGTTGACGAATTGGAATTGACAAAGAACGAAGAAGAAGATCGCGCTTCTGGTTGTCCTCTCTAATTTCCCACTGCTATGTCCGCGATCGGCTAAACGCCTCGGATACTTACTGCGCGTATTTAATACTCCCTCAGTTCCAATCTCTTTGTCCACTTACCTTTTGACACACCATCCAATGCACTTCTTTAATCCATTTTATCTTGTAATTTGTATATTAAAAAATTATAGAAATTATATATTAATAATCTATATGTTAAGACAAATCAAACAAAATCACACATGACTATATTTAGGCTTACACATTGAGAGAATTTGATGAATCAAAGTGCTTGGATGAACAGTTCCAAAAGTCAAAAGTGGACAAAGAGAGTGGGACGGAGGGAGTATATAGCATTGGGGATGACTTGCCAATTCCAATTAGGATTTGGTAACTTACATATTAATGTCCTTACGTTATTACTCCCTCCGTCCTAAAACTTTCTTCCCACTTCCCCTTTTTCTCCGTCCTAAAACTACCTTCCCATTTGAAAAAAAAAGATGACAAATGACATTAATACCCTCATGTATTTATACCAATTATCTTCTAACTCTATATTTTGAATGATTGTAAAAAAAAATTTCAAAAAATCTTTTTTAAGGAGGGTAAAATTTGAAGTCAAAGCCAAAAATTAAAAATGAGAAAAAGTCAAACTGGGAAGAAAGAATTAGGACGGAGGGAGTATATTATTATGTTAGGACCATGCTACATTTACACCAACAAATATACCCCATTTGTACACCACAGGTTTGCACAAACATTTCGATGGTTTACACCGACACAAGTGTTGGTGCGGTAATAAAAATTCACACAGACACAAATGTTGGTGCGCTTAACAAAAATTAGTTTTACACCAACACAAAATGTTGGTGCAAAACTACGGGGTACAAATTGGGGTACAAATCTTGGGGTACACATAGCATAATCCATTATATTATTATATTCTAACATCCCCTTATTTACTTTTTGAACAATAACTTCCATTTTACTCACCACGCTTTGCATAACAGTCCAATTTTAACAAACTATATACCATTGGTCACCATTTTATGCGATCTACCCGAAAATCTAATTTTTAATTAAAATGGGTGACTTTACAAATAATTCATCTTTTGAAGTCAATAAATATTATATTCATTTTTATTAAAATAACAGCTAACTACCAGGCCGGTTTTTAGGGCATTACATTTCGTATATGTTTATTGATGGATAAAAATCCCATTCAATACATGCTCGATCTGCAGGCCAAGACAAAACTTTGTTTACCCTAGATCTTTCATTTCAAACTCTTTCATTAAATAGTTTGCAGTCTTTAATAATTCTTTTGGTGTTCCAACAAGGTTTAGGTCATCTACATACATTGCTATGATGGCAAATCAAACTTCAGATTTCTTGATGAAAACACATGGACAAATTGGATCATTTATGTAACCTTCTCTAACAAGGTATTCACTAAGACGGTTATACCACATTCTACCAGATTTTTTCAATCCGTATAATGATCTTTGTAACTTGATTGAGAATAACTCACGAGCTCTCTGATTGCATGCTTCAGGAATTTTGAATCCTTCAGGGATTTTCATGTAAATCTCATAATCTAAAGATCCGTACATATATGCTGTAACAACATCCATAAGACACATGTCAAGTCTTTCTGTGACTGCAAAACTAATCAAATAACGCAATGTAATTGCATCTACCACAGGTGAATATGTCTCATCATAATCGACTCGAGGCCGCTTTGAAAAACCTTAGGCAACAAGTCTGGTCTTATATCTGAAAATTTCATTTTTCTCATTGCGTTTTTGCACGAAGACCCATTTGAACCCAACAGGCTTTACACCTCTATGTGTTTTAACAATAGGTCCAAAAGCTTTACGATTTTCTAGATCTTTTAACTAATCTTGCATTACTTCTTTCCATTTCGGCCAATCATTTCTATGTTGACATTCATGTACAGATTTCGGTTCAGGATCCTCATTTGCAATATTTAATGCAACAATATAAGCAAAAATGTCATTGATGATCACCTTTTTTCTATCCCAACTCTCTTTTGTATTCAAATAGTTTAGGGATATCTCTTCAGATCTAAAACCTTCTAGACATTCCTCTTCAGGGGTGTGTACCTCTTCATAGGTCTTTTCTTTAATAATTTCAGACTGATCAGTCATATTGTATCATGTTGTATCATAACCCTAGCATGGAGTTTTCCCCTAGCTATTATTCTCTTTCCCTCTTATTTGTTGTTCTCTTTGTTCTGTCTGTACACCTGGATTCAATTCGGCGTCATCTGGTACCAGAGCTCAGTTCGACGAAACGGAAGATCATCCTTCATCATCAATGGTGCGTGCACGAGTTAACGGCCTTGGGCAACCTATGGGTGACAAACACTCCCCCCGCCCCCCGACAAGATCGGCGCCATGACGACGTGGAGGTGATTAAGTGCTAACTTTGTGGCAAACCGGGACATAGGGTGACGGAATGCAAAAAGCCCGTCCTACAGAAGAACAAGAGTCTGTTCGTGGAGGAAGACATCGTTTATAATGATGACGAAGTTGAAGAGTGAAGAGATATGTCTTGAAGAGTCAAGAGATCCAGTCTACGATGATTATGCTGAAGAAGTCGTTCTTTATGTGGACGGTCGTGAGAATCTCGTTGTCCGCAAGAGCCTTCTCACCACCAAGGATGACTCCAAGGACGACTAGTTGAGCACTAACATCTTCCACACTGCCTGGTCTCAAAAATCGAGGGCCCGCGTACCGTGCATTATACAGCATTTCGAAAACAAATCTTGCACTAAGGCAACGCCAATTGCAAAGTTGCACGCGTCAAGATGACTTGCATCGTTCCCATTCCCTTCGGACCGCTAGTGCCGTACAAGAGTATCAGAAAATTACCAAGGGTACGCCTTTGCATTTCCCTTAGGGACTGCTTTGAAGTCACCGCCTCCGCGATTAACTCGAAAAAAGCTTAGAGGGGTTTGGGATCCGGCTAGGGGGGGGGGGAATCAAAGCAACAAAGGGCTGAATCTCAGAGGATCGTGGCAGCAAGGACACTCTACCGCTTACAACGCCCTCTTGTAAACCTCACGTTCCCTATTGTGTTTCGAAGGCCCGAGAACTGTGCATTGTACGGCATTTCGAAAAACAAATCTTGCACTAAGGCAACACCAATTGCAGAGTTGCACGCGTCAGGATGACTTGCATCGTTGCCATTCCCTTCGGACCGCTAGTGCCGTACAAGAGTATCAGAAAATTACCAAGCGTACGCCTTTGCATTTCCCTTAGGGACTGCTTTGAAGTCACAACCTCCGCGATTAACTCGAAAAAAGTTTAAAGGGGTTTGGGATCCGGCTGGGGGGATCAAAGCAACAAAGGGCTGAATCTCATAGGGTCGTGGCAGCAAGGCCACTCTACCGCTTACAATACCCGGTTGCGTATTTAAGTCGTCTGCAAAAGATTCTACTCGCCGCACGATCAAAATTGAACCTCAAGGCATCCACCGGAACCATTACGTCACGGCGGATTAGCCTTCGACACGTGCCCCTGGGAACAAAAGCTCCTACTACTGGTCGGCAAACGAGCGGCGAGTCCAAGCGTCGATCTGGCACGGATTCTGACTTAGAGGCGTTCAGTCATAATCCAACGCACGGTAGCTTCGCGCCACTGGCATTTTCTTTATTTGAAATATTATTATCATTTGAGATCTTCATCTCTTGTACCCTTTTCTTTCGAGGGTTCTTATCTTTCGCACCAATGGGACGTCCATGCTTCATGCGTAGTTTTAGTGCTTCATTATTTTGTTCGTATGAGACGTCCACACGTGCAGGTGTGTAAATAACTGGTATATGAGATTTCGTCACATTTTTGTATTAGTGAATGCATCTGGAAACTGATTTGCAATATTTTATAAATGTATTATTCGTCTCACATCCTGTTCACATTGATTTGTGCGTGGGTCCAAGTGAGACAAAGATGGTACATTCCAAGTAATTTCATGTTGTTCTATAGCAATTAGGGTTTTATCTCCCCTTAACGGTGGAAAAACTCTCTCATCAAAATGACAATCATCAAACCTTGCTTTAAACAAGTCGTCTGCCAATGGTTCAATATATTTAATGATAGATGGGGAATCAAAACCAACGTAAATCCCAAGTCGTCTTTGTGGGCCCATCTTTGTCCGTTGAGGTGGAGAGATAGGAACATACACCGCACAAAAAAATATTTTTAAGTGAGAGAGATCTGGCTATTGACCAGAAGTCAATTGCAATGGTGAGTACGAATGATAAGAACTTGGTCTTATACGCACCGATGATGCAACATGTAATATTGCATGCCCCAACAAGAGGTAGGCAAATTTGACCTTAAAAGCAAAGGTCTAGCAATTAATTATATTGTAATCTCTTAATGAATGACTCTGCCAGGCCGTTTTGGGTATGAACATATGCAACTGAATGTTCAACATCAATTCCAATTGACATGCAATAATCATTAAAGGATAGATGTGAACTCACCAGCATTATCAAGACGGATGGTCTTGATTGGATAATCAGGAAACTGTGCTCTCAATTTGATTATCTGAGCAAGAAGTTTAGCAAAAGCATTTGTACGTGATGTTAACAAACATACATGAGACCATCTTGATGAAGCATCTAGTAAGATCATGAAGTAACGAAATGGTCCACAACGTGGATCAACAGGAGCACAAATGTCTCCTTGAATACGCTATAAGAATGTTGGACACTCATTGCCAACTTTCATCAGGGATGACCTTGTAATTAATTTACCTTGTGAACATGCTATGCAAACATATTCATTAGGCAAAGGAATCTTATGGTTCTTTAAAGGATTCCCATTTGCATGCTCTAGTACACGACGCATCATGGTCGATCCAGGGTGAACAAGTCGATCAGGCCAAAGCATAAATTGTTTAGGATCATTGAACTTCTGGTTCATGATAACATTTGATTCGATGGCACTAATGGTGGTATAATACAATCTAGATGAGAAAACTGGAAGTTTTTCTTTTACTTGCTTTTGGCAATGATTTGTATATGTGATAAAAAGGTATTCCGTACCTCTTTCGTTCATAGTTTCAACATTAAATCCATTAAGTTCTATATCTTTGAAACTTAATAAGTTTCTTTTTGAATTAGAGTATAATGCCTCTTTTACAATAATATTGGTTCCCCAGATAAAATTATATTTGCTCTTCCAAAGCCCTCAATTTACTCCGTAGTACTAGGAATTGTACTCATATTTGCTTTTGCTAACTGCAGATCTGAAAAATACTTTTGATCTTTAAAAATTGTGTGTGTTGTCCCACTATGAACCAAGCAAACATCTTCATATTTTAAGTTGTTCATGACCTTTTGTGTTTCCATCTTGATAGAATACATAAATAAAAATAAGAAGAAAAAAGTAAGAAGTCGTAATTTTTTTATTAATAAAAAAAACATTAATCATGATGACTCGCGACTTGAAATTGGAATACATATTATTTTGTAACATAAACTAAACTCGACTGAAAAGGACACAACAAACAAGACTTGAAATTGGAAATACATATTATTTTGCAACACAAATTAAACTTGACTCAAAATCACTTATCTTTAATCTTGTTTTGGCTAACAGAAGCATCACTACCATCAAATTCAGCCCCATTAATATCACGACTTGGCTAAATAAGAAAATCATGCTCATCAAAATGAGTTGCTTCCATCGGCTCAATTGTAGTATCAAAGTCGTTGTCAAAATCAACAAATTTTATCTCCTTTTCTTTTCCCTTTCCTGTGGTTGATGCTAGGTAGAGATCAACAAGGTGCTTTGGTGTATGAAAAGTACGAGACCAATGACCTTTCACTCCACATCAATAACAAATTTCATCCCTTTGTTTTGAACAATCACCTTTATCGATCTTCCCCTTTTCTTGTTTTTGGTTATTATTTTCCCACTTCGAGTTGTTTGGTATAGATTTCTTACTAAAAACATTGTTGTTGAATCCTCCTCGACCTCGCCCATAACCACGACCAGAACCACGGCCACGACCGCGACCACGAGCACGCCCTCGTCCACGAAAATAACATTTACTTCTGGAAATGAATTGATTGCATTCGCTGCAGGGAATGGTTGAGAGCCAGTAGGGCAAGAGTTATGATTTTTCAAGAGAAGATCATTGTTTTGTTCAACAACAAGGACGATTGGATCCTCAACAATGAGGCGGTGGTCATTCAAGAGCTCGGGATCACCAACCTCATCCGCCACAGCGACACGCCGACGATCCACTCGGCCCCACAAGAGAAGTGCCTCCTCCTCTACATCCTCACTCGGATCCTCCGCCCCCGGGATGGCAGCCACACCTTGCTCTTCAACGAGGACTTGAAGGCGATTCACTCCATCATGCACGGCGCCTCCATCAATTGGGCGAAATACGTCATGATTCACATGACGGATTGCGCTTCCATCATCAACGAGCGGAGCTTGCCGTATGCCTTCCTCGTCATGGACCTCATCGTCTAGGCCGACATCCACATTATCGGGCCAAGCACGAAGATGACAAAGCTTTGGATCATTGCCGAAAACACCTTCAAAAAGAAGTCCGGAACCCGAGACGGTGCCGGACCGAGTCGTGCCCGTGCCCCTGCCCCCGCTCTCGCTCGGGCCTCGCTGCAGTTCATAGCCGACACCCTGAATTTGGCTAACCATCACCGTGGACGGCATAGGCTAGTACTTGGAGCGGATGGACGGGACGCTGCAATGCCAACTACGTTCTTCCATGGAATCAACTACGTCTCGCCGCCCTTCGACAGCACCATCCTCAGCCAAAACTTTGAAGGCGAGGATGAGGACGACGACTCATACGCTCCGTCCTCCTCCACCGACGAGGCTGATTTTGAGGACGCGGTCGACGGAGATCCCATGGGCGTTGAGGACGACGAGGACGAGGACGCTGACTCCTAGAATCCTCCCTTCTTTTCTTTTAATATGAATGTTTTCTTTTAATTCTCATTCCGTTGTATTCCGCATTTCCCTTCTGTTTTGATGAATAAAAGTCCAGTTTTAATTCTAAAGTTTACTTTTAAATTCTTTTGGTTAATGTCGAAAGGGGGAATTTTTTGCATTTATTAAGGGGGAACATTTTTTTAAGTCTCAAAACAATCCTCCTATGCATAACCTCGTCTTGTTTGCCATTATCAAAAAGGGGTAAATTTTTGAAATACGGGTTTGTCACGTTTTCGTACTAAAGCCGTGTTCGTTTTTATGACAGGTTTTGATAATGCCAAACCGCCGTGATCAAGACAAACATTAAATACACAAGGCGAAGAACGAAGATAAGAACAAGAGCTAAACGAAGACCAAGAATGAAGACCATAGTCTTAGGGGCTGTTTGGCAACTTCTGAATGGGTAAGTGCTGAATCAGTAAGAGGTCTGAACCATTAAGTGTTGAACCAGTAAGAGGTCTAAACCATTAAGAGCTAGTATATTTCTTAACTATTCAGAGGCAAATATTTGATCAATTCAGATAAGAGGTATTAATCATTCAGACTCTGTATAATACTTAACCATTCAGAGGCAAATCTCTTAACCATTCAGACTTTTGAACCATTAAGAGGCTGAAACAAACAGTGTGAACCATTAAGTGCTGAACCATTCAGACATCTGAACCATTAAGAGGCTGAAACAAATAGCCCCTTCGTGTCGTTGAGTCGGTCCTTGTTGTGATCAAGACCGACCTAATCTTTACACCTTGGCTCTTTAGGCTAAAATTATTTTCATTGAATTTCACACATCATAAAAATGTTTTTCAAACATGTTTAATTCATTAAAAACACTTGGTGTTTGTCCAAACCAAAAACCAAGCCATCCGGCGTTCGGCTTTCAGAAACCGGCGTTCGTCATTCGGTTATAGGCATTGGCTTTTGGCGTCCGAACCAACCAAGTGGTTTTCAACATTTTATGATTTTTTTTCATTTCTTGGAATGTTTAAACAGCTCTCCAACAAAAAACATCTTGAAAACCACCTTTCGCTTTTGGTCGTTTGGCAAAAACCACGCAAAACAACATAAACTTGGCTAGCCGTGGTTTTTACTCAAATGACGTGGTTTTTAAGGTGTCTCACCTGATTTCTTATCCAAATACATCAAATAAGTGTTTTAAACACTTGGTTTTTACTTTGGAGAACTTTGGATTTTTTGGTCGGTTTTTGCACCGGTTGGCTATGTTGTGGTTAAGGCGAAAACCATGGGTTTTTGACTAACCACCCACCAAACGATGGGAAGAACTACCCATCGATGGGTAAGCGGTCCTTTAGCCAAACCAACTTCCAGAACCATGCCAAACATCGATGGGAAGTTTTACCCATCGCTGTTAAAGCATTGGTCCAACATCAACACCAGCACTACAAGAATTTGTCTAGACTACAACGGATATCTGCTACGGAATCAAATTCGTAGCAGATCTGCAACGAATCCGCGACGGAATTGTATACCTCGAAAATAAAGCATAATCTGCAACGGATATATATTTTCCGTCGCAATCCAGCGACGGTGTATTGGGTACCGTCGCAAATATAAGGTGGTCAAAATTTGACCTTAAAATCTATGACGGAACCTTACCCCCGTTGCAGATCCGTCGCAGGTTTAAAGTAAAAAACGAGAGTCAAAATTTTCCAGCCATTCGCTCTTTAGTTGAACCCTATCCCGATTCTCTCTCCCCCTCCGCCGTCCTGCGATTGCCACCCCCTCCGCCAGGCTTCAACGACGGTCCTCCACCTCTCCGCCGACGAGCATCCTCGCCAGCCACGCCGGACCCTCCACCTATCGTCCCGGCCAGCCGCGCGACCTCCCCAGCGTCGCCAGCCGCTTTGACCTCCCCAGCGGCGCCAGCATTTGTCCTCCCCAGGGGCGCCAGCCGTCTCTCTTCCGCCGCCTACCTCCTCTTCCTCTTTGCGGTGATGTTATTTTTGTTTAATTTATTTTTTGGTGAAATTGAATTTCTTTGTGTGAAATTGAGTGCATTTTTGGTGAAATTTACTTAAAATTGTGTGAATATGAGATGAAATTGACTTGAAATTGGGTAACAATTGCACTACTTTTTGGTGAAATTGATGGCCGTGTAATTTTAGTTAAAATTGTGTTAGTAAATTTGTTGTTTATTGTGACTTTAGGTAAAATTTAGTTTAATTTTGTGAAATTGAGGTGATGATAAGTTCATATCTATAGTTGAATGATTGTTGTTTGTGGTTTAATAAGATTGTCGTTTGTTAGCCGCCTTTATTGTTGCTATGGTTTGTTGGTAATAAATGTCATTGATATTCTTGGTTAAATTATTGTTGTTTGTTGCCTTTCATTTACCAGGCGTTTCTAGAATGAGTCCATTCGAAAATCGTGAGTTGATGTATAAGAAATATGATAGAGAAGGTGTTGTTAGTCAAGAATGGGTGGACAATGTGGTTGAGTTTGTAGAGTACTGTGAGTCAAGTCCCAATGTAAATAGGTTGGATAACAAGAAAATGCGATGTCCTTGCGTGAAATGTAAGAACATCAAGTTTTTTTCATCAAAGAATATGCTGGAGCACATTTTGCGGTTTGGATTCACACCTAATTATTTTGATTGGGTATGTCACGGCGAGAATCATGGTGACTACGTACCTCCCCAACGATCAAAAATCCCTCGTCAAGCTGATGCCTCAGATGTATCACATGTCCCGGGTAGAGAACAGTTTGTGCACATGATTTATGATGCAGTCGGCCCGACTAGGATCAACTCTGTTGTTGAAGAAGAGCCAAATTCGACAGACAAGCACTTCTTCGAAATGTTGAAAGCTGCTGATACAGATCTTTGGCCGGGGAGTTCTAAGACATCTCAGTTGTCTGCAGTTGCGCGCTTGTTGAATATTAAGTCAGAGCATAATCTATCTGAGCGTTGTTACGACACCATATGTCAATACATCAAAGACATTCTCCCGGAGGACAACTCAATGGTGAATGACTTTTATGAAACTAAAAAGATGATTGAAGGTTTGGGTCTTCCGGTCCAAAAGATTCATTGTTGTGTTCTTGGATGCATGTTATATTGGAGAGGCGATGAAAGTCTTACCGAGTGCAAGGTGTGTCATAAGCCACGCTATAAAGACGAGACGTCTAAGATTCCGCACAGA